CCAACCATGGCTTTACATGTGGCATCAGTGTATGGTGCGAGGCCCTACCATTGAAGTCGAGAGCTTGAGCTCTCAATCTCTAACCTAGGTGATGTTTCTATCACTGTATTGTGTTCTTGAGCTTTAAATCCTATTGTGTTGCAATTTTTGTGGTTAATTCGAGGGCTTATTCCCTGCATGTGATTCCGACAAAGGAAAACGGACAACTCCAACGAGTTCAAGGTCCAATCTCGGTGAAATCTCTTGCATTTAACCTTGGTAAGTTCTCAATCCTATTCTTATGGTTTCTAACATAAAAATTGTGTTGGAAACCTTTGTGTTGATGCAAATATGTTGTCGGTGCAACTTTTTTTTTTTCTTCAGTTTTTCTAACAAACTCAAGCCATTACTTTCAGGCCATTTGCCTTTTCCCTCCGTGGCTCCTTCTATCCCTAACGTCAGCATGATGTCATATAGCCTGATCCTAAAGTCTGTTAATTTTAGGCTGGCCTGAAGACCAGCTTAGGCTGGTTGTCAGGCAATCCCGTGGCCTGGAGAGACTTCCTTAGGTGGAAGTGCCCTCAGATCACTAGAGGGAGAACACTAGTGGTTATCAAAGTGATCTTGGGTGGTTAGAAGTACCAAAGGATATGATATGTAGGTCAGGGGGAGCATGTGTTAATGACAAAGATGAAAATGGGACACCAATCTCTTGGCAAGAAATCGTAGAGAGTGACACGGGCCTTCAGCTGCTACCTGCTGTGACAGGTGTTGGCCATCAACAAGGTTTTGCCGAGGAAGCTACAATAGTTTAGTAGCTAGTTGCTACCGAACCAAGTACATCAAGGGAGGAAGTGCTACCTGTCGAACCAAGTACATTAGGGGAAGAAGTGCTACATGTCGAACCCACATCGTCTTTTCTCTCTAGCTCAATAGTGTCATCCAATGTGTCTTCTCTGATCTATGAGGTAAGTATTACAGATACTCATGTAACTAATTCAAATAATGTTGCAAGTACATATAAGTTGTCACTAAGGTAAAATCGTGATGTTCCTCCTGACAGGTTTTCTCCCAAAGGAAAAGTAAAGTATCCAATAGCAAATTATGTGTCATGCAAGAACCTTGCACCTAAATGCCAAGCATGGGTGAATAATGTGGAAACAATTCAAGTACCAACCTGAGTTAAAGAAGCCTTGAAGGATCCTGAATGGGCTACTGCAATGGATGAAGAGATGATGGCACCACATAAGAATGATACATGGGAAGTGATGGAACTACCGAAAGGAAAAAAACTAGTTGGGTGTAGATGAGTCTTTACAGTTAAAGATAAGACGGACAAATCAATAGACAGGTATAAAGCAAGGTTAATAGCAAAAGGTTATACTCAAACGTATGGTGTTGATTACCAAGAAACGTTTTCCCCAGTGGCCAAGATAAATATGGTACGTGTTCTTATCTCATTAGCTGCAAATTTGAATTGGTCATTGAAACAGTTTGATGTAAAAAATGCTTTCCTTCATGAGCATTTGGAAGAAGAACTATATACGGATTTTCCTCTGGGATATAATGCCAGGGGGAAAACCGGAGTGTGTAGGTTGCGAAAGTTGCTTTATGGGCTTAAGCAATCGCCTCGTGCATGGTTTGGTAGATTTACTCAAGTCATGAGAAGAAATGGATATTACCAGAGTCACTTCGACCACACGTTGTTTGTAAAACAGAGAAGTGGCAAAGTGATAGCTTTAATTATCTATGTGGATGACATGATAATAACATATGATGATTCGGAAAAGATGGTAAAACTGAAAGAGAGTCTTGCCACTAAATTTGAGATGAAAAATTTGGGAGATTTAAAATATTTCCTTGGAGTAGAAGTGGCTCGTTCGTCTAAAGGTATTTTCTTGTCTCAATGTAAATATGTTCTGACTTATTGAAGGAGACAGGTATGCTTGGATGTAAACCCATGGACACTCCTATTCTTGAGAAACATTATTTGGGGATTTATCCATATCAAAAACCTGTTGACAAAGGTAGATATCAGAGACTGGTAGGGAGACTAATTTATTTGTCCCACACTCATCTGGATATTGCCAATGCAGTGAGTGTGGTGAGTCAGTTTATGCACTCACCAAGTGTGGATCACATGATTGCATTTATGCGAATTTTGGCATATTTGAAGTCTGCTCTGGGGAAAGGAATTTTGTATGAACATCATGGCCATATGAGAATTGAGGGATTTACTGATGCAAATTGGGCAGGAGATGTGACTAATAGGCATTCTACGTCCGGGTATTTTACATTTGTTGGAGGTAATTTGGTAACTTGGCGAAGTAAGAAACAAAAAGTGGTGTCACGGTCTTCCACAGAAATCGAATTCAGAGGCATGGCGCATGTAGTGTGTGAGATCCTTTGGCTACGAAAGTTGCTTTGGGGTCTCGGCTTTAAGCAAAAAGAGGCGATGAAATTGTATTGTGACAATAAGTCGGCGAGAGAAATAACAGAGAATCCAGTACAACATGATATGACTAAGCATGTTGATGTTGATCGACATTTTATTAAAGAGAAGCTTGAGAAGAAGGTGGTGTCAATACCGTTCATGAGCTCGGAAGAACAACTTGCATATATTCTTACTCATGCTGTGTGTAGTAGGAGCTTCAATGACTCACTTATCAAGTTGGGCATATGTGATATCTATGCACCAACTTGATGGGAAGTATTGGCGTGAGTCAATATTTAAGGAAAATGAATGTAAATATTGTGTAAATATTAGAGTCATGTTTTAGGAAGGATATATTTGTGTTCTTTATTGTTTCCTTATGTAACAAGGATTGTATGTACTTATATTGAGAATTATGGAATACATGAAAATTAAGCCGTAAAATTATACTAGCTCATCATTAACTAATTCACTAACTTAATTTCCTTTTTCTTAAATTGTTCAGGTACATTTTACAATGTTCTGGGTTTAGAGGCATCTTACCTACGGATCAAAAGAGAGTTTTAATAAATCAATAAAAGCAATAGCATCAAAGCATTTTATCAAAGAGAGTAACATTTGGTTCTTTGTACCTTGAAGGAAGATCATCCAGGAAAACAATTTTGTTCCTATACATTTTGCAAGTTTGCAAAAGTGCCATTAGCCGGCCTACGAAAAATGAAGACAACATCATGAAAGAGAAAAATGACATACATAGGGCAGAGCATGTAGCCTCTAATATTATTATAAATTTACAAAATATTATCCGTAAATATAAAATAAGATGTAAATATGATTTTTTTTTCATCTCACATTAGCATTTTTCCGTTGAAGATGACCTCATAGTACTAATAGTAAACAGTCCTGCATAATTCATCTAAATTAACTTTATCTAATTTTTATTCTAATAATTGTAAAATGAAGATCATAATATTCTACCCAACTTGAATAAACTTATGAACACGATATCCTAAATTAATTAAATAAAGCTGTGATATGTTATGATACAAAAGATAATTCTATTTGAGAGTTCTTATAAACTAATTGCGCGAATCTCAATTATCCAATCCGAACTTCCTTCATTTTTTCTTGTCCGGAAAAAAAAAAAACAAAGGTTCCTTCATTTTCAATTGGGGACAGAAAACTTAAGCACATGATGCGCGCATTAAAGTCAAGTTAAGTACGAACATGTACATTTTCCGTGCATGGTACTTAACTTCTAGATTCAAATTTAAAGGACAGTGTGATTTGGTGTGAGCAGAATCACTCCTTGATGGCCGGCTTATCAGAGAGAAAATAGACAGTGATGTTAATTTATTCAATTCCTTCACAAAGTCTTCAATAAGGCTGGGCTTGTTTGTGGCTTTATAACCTTTTTATACAAATTATTTAGTACTACGTTATATTAATATTTATTTTTATCTGTAAGTAAAAGATTTTATATTTGAATCCAGTTAAAAACAAAGTTAAACTATATTATTATAGCAAACTCATTATAAAGTTTAATAATTGTCTCATCATTTAATATAAATACTATCCTTTGTTAAAAAAAATAAAAAATTAAGGACATGAATAATTACATGCACACATCCACATTTATTCTTTGTTTTCAAATCACTTACTTTTATTCTGGGGTCAAAAGTTGCTACTTCGCTTTAGTTGAGGGTCAAAAGGTGTACTTTTCTTTATCATAACATGTGGCATACAACTGGGATCCCAATTTTGCATGAGCAATAATCTCGTTCTATCATCCTTTTCCATGCTTGCATTTTTCATTCGTTAATGGGCTTATTTCCACGCTCATTTATAATATATTTTATTATAAAATTTACATAATCAAAATTATCCAATCTTTTAATTTTCATTTAAAGATCAACAATATAAAAATAATTGGAATCAAATATCATTTAGTAATTTGAAAGTATGAAATAACGGTTCATCATGAATATTTTATTTGGTACCTACACAATTGATGCATTTGATATATTTAAATAGCTAAACGATATCCGATTATAATTTATTGTAATGATGATTTTCAAATAAAAATTATGAGATTCAGATTATGAAATTTATGAAATGAAAATATGTCTTTTGCATGTGAATAAATGAGCTAATCCGCATAAAAATGAATGCAAGTATTATTCTTTTCCATATTATTTTTTTGGATCGGTGTTAATTTTTCATATTCTAAAGGAGCAAATCACAGCAACCAACAAAAGTCATGTGGTATTGACGAAAAAATAGAAAATTACAGTTCCTGTGTTGGATCCAATCCAACACACATACACAATAAGAACGCTTTGAAAAATAAGATCCGAACCTAGAAAATCAGCGATAAATAGGCACATTCCGCGGCTAATTTGGCGCCCCTTATAACATGGGAAGTGCTGCTTACTTCTATGTTTTCCAACCCTATTAATTATATATATATATATATATGTGTGTATATAAAATATATATATTAATATATGTATATAATATATATATATTTTATATAAATATAAAAGGTTGAAATTTTTATATTTACATAGTCGAAGGCACTTGCATTTTCAATTTCCCACTTGTAGCTTTTTTCTCTTTGTTTTATATATAAAGGTCACTCCAGCTCCTTGTTCCACTGCAAAACAATGTCGCCTTTGTCTCTATTGCTTTGCTTTCTGGCCTATTTTTCTCTCTGCAATAGTTATGCTTCTGCTGTACCTCTTGATGGTAAACATTTCTGTTTTTGGTCCCTTTTATACAATTTATGTCTTTTTTTTTTCCTAATCTTTGGTAATGTATGTGTTCTTACCAGTTCAATAATTTTCTGGATTTTAATCTCCTTAATGCTAAGCTCAAAGCTGCCCTTGGCAGAGTGTGTTTTCAGTTTCTAGACTAACTTCACCAATCAAAATGTATAGTTTACTTGGATTTTTTACTTTCGTCAAAGCACATAAATGGTTACATTCTAAATAGCTTTCACTTTTACAATCTAAGATTGACATAACAATTTCATCTTTGATTTCAGGAGAACTCCCAAACGGACATTTCGAAGAATCACCACATCCTTCAAATTTGAAGAAAACGGTGATCATCGGCAAGTACTCACTCCCAAAGTGGGAAATCAGCGGCTTGGTGGAGTACGTCAAAGGTGGACCCCAACCAGGCGGTTTCTTCTTCAATGTGCCACGTGGAGTCCACGCAGTGAGACTTGGCAACGAGGCCTCCATTTCTCAGAACGTGATTGTTAGCCCGAGTTCAGTTTACTCCCTCACTTTTGGGGCTACAAGAACTTGTGCCCAGGATGAGGTTTTAACAGTCTCAGTACCTGGTCAGTCTGCTGATCTCTCCCTTCAAACTGTCTTCAGCAGCAATGGTGGTGATACTTATGCTTGGGCTTTCAAGGCTATGTCCAACGTTGTTAAGATTACATTACACAACCCTGGGGTTCAGGAAGACCCCGCTTGTGGGCCGCTACTGGATGCTATTGCAATCAAGCAGATGCTTCCTTTCAACTATACAAGGGGTACGATTTCTTAACCCTCGGTTTTAATTTCTGTTTATATTTATATTTATTTTGTAAATAATCTTCCTTGGTTTCAGTTTCATTAGCTTGAAGTTGTATTTTTTTCTCTATCATTTTTTTTAAACAAAAAAAAGTGGAAGAAAAAAGTATTACTACTTACCACCTAAAGCGGCATGCACATAACACCACTTAGACTACAAGCTCGTGAAGGAAAAAATATATAGTACTGCCACTGCAATTAAGTTTTATTTTATTAAAAAGGATACCAACTTTTTAAACTAAAGTTTATAAATGCTAGGGATACCAACTTTTTAAACTAAAGTTTATAAATGCTAGAGATACCAACTTTTTAAACTAAAATTTATAAACTATGTAATATGATTATTGATGATTGAATTATTATTAAGTATTGATTAACGTACTTATCATCTTTATCTAATATTGCTATATACCAATCTCTCTGTGCAGGTAACCTAGTGAAAAATGGAGGGTTTGAAAAAGGCCCTCATGTGTTTAAGAACTTCTCAACCGGAATCCTCATCCCTCCCAAGGTGAATGACCCGTACTCACCACTGCCTGGATGGATCGTTGAATCCCTGAAGCCTGTGAAGTACATAGACAGGAAGCATTTCGCAGTTCCTCGCGGACTTGCAGCCATTGAGTTGGTTGCAGGGAGAGAAAGTGCAATTGCTCAAATTATTAGAACCGTCCCAAACAAATCCTACAACCTTATCTTCACCATTGGAGACGCAAAGAACGGTTGCCACGGATCGATGATGGTCGAAGCCTTTGCTGGCAAGGAAACCCTAAAAGTTCCTTTTGTGTCTGCAGGAAAAGGTGGCTTCAAAACTGCAATTCTCAAGTTCCAAGCAAATTCAATCAGAACAAGATTAACATTTTACAGTGCCTACTATCACACAAAGCTTGATGACTATGGCCATATGTGTGGCCCCGTCTTGGATAATGTCATTGTTTTTCCAGTCGCTTGACATTAATTATGTAACACGGATATCTTTTGTTAGCTCTATATTATTGTTAGAGAAGATCTTGAAAGGTGAGAGTGTGCGTTGTTTATTTCAGTATACATTTGGTTCTTCAGTTTTATGTTTTGAGCCATTGATGGGTATGTACTAATCCATATGAATAAGTTTACAAATGCTCATATTGGGTCTTAAACTTTCTTTAAGATCCGAAACGCGAGTAGTAATGTTAGATAGACTAACATTTTAGATTATATTTGCAATTCATGTAATGTGTCATCAATAAAAGATAAATACGTTAATCAACAATTAAGTAAAATCTAATCATCAACAATTACGTCATATGATTTACAAATATGATTTAAATATATAATTTCTCTAGCACCACTTTTTAAATATATCTCGATTGTGCAATTGAAAGCATTTGAATATAATATTGACATTATCCACCAAGTGTACTCTCTAGTAATTTAATTAGTCATCTAGATTTGAGAGTGAAAAGTATTCTTTATGTTCATCTTCTTTTCTTGCTGCCTTCCCTTGTGACTCAAAAGAACAAAAGTTCAAATTAAAAACATAAATAATTGCATAAAAACATTTACTTTAAATTTTGGGTCGAAAGTTGCTAAATCAAAGTCACTTTACCCTAGGGTCAAGAGACAAGAGGTGCTTCTTTTTATGACTTGAAGTCTCAGATATTAAATATGTATTATGTATCGAATATTATATTAGTAGTGCGATTACAAATATATATATTCTTAACATGCAACTTGTTAGAGGATGAGTTGCAAACAAAAATAATGTCTACTGTATGTATACGAGTTTAAAAGCTAAAAATGTGTTTGCGCAATATGTTCCAGAACATTATAGATGGGTTCATATTGGTTTTTTTGTTCTATTTTGGTCAAAATGGTTCATATTGTTGAGTGGGTTAAGATGATACATCCCGATCCAGAAAGTCCACTTGAACCTTGAATCGAGCTGTGCTGGTCGACACCTGAAATGTGACGAAGCTATAAAATGTGATAGAGTGTAGAAAAATGTGAATAAATTTGAACCTAAAAATTTTAAATACCAGAGTGCATTGTGAGCGGGAGCGAACCCATTTCACACATGACGTCAGAGCATAAGTAAGGTACAGAAGTGTGGGTAAGAATCATACCCTCAGAATTATCCATCAATACTAAGATTCGCCACAGATCCTTGTCGATACAAACTCAGCAACTAAAACCTGGAGGGCACCAAACAGAGAGTGTGAGTGAGCAATAAAATCAAGCTTCCCAAAGTTATTACCTCTCTAAAAGTAATGTCCCATGTAAAACCCGTATCGTTTTCCATAAGACAATACAACATATATACATATATCCAAACCATACTCAAAAATGGCCAAAACCACGGTTTGCCATGTCCATTAACTCCACCATGCATTAATAAGTAGGCCAAATGAACTTAATCAATACAAAATGATATGTTAGTTGGAGTCATCTAGTGTGACATGTACGATTGCACCCATATCTCATCACATATCTCATCAATCATGGCTAGCATATAAGTTCGAGTCACTTCTTGTGACCCGTACAACTTATCCATATCTCATTAATCATGACTAGCATATAAGTCGGAGTCACCTATAGTGACTCCAAAGCATTCACAATAGTTAGGTTCAGGTAATATCCATATGAATATGCCATGATGCAATCTAAACCCAAACATTTCATGATATTCACAGAATATATAATACAGCGTAACATGTACAATCAATAACATCCTACTCTCAAACTATTTACTTTTGAGAGTAATCATCAGTGATAAGCCCAATTAGACACTAGTTAAATTAACTATCATTACTTACCTTTCTTTACTTCAATTTCTTGATTCTTCACACATTGATTTATGATCAACATTTAATCACCAAATCATAAAGCTAAAACTCATACTTCCCACCAATGTCTCTCACATTGCTCAATTCACTAAACAAGGCTATTATCTCAATTATTTAATCTCATTTATTATATGGCTGCATCTAATGTCTTGTTAGACTGCCTACATACCCTAAACAGGGATCAAGCCATTTGTAGTTCGCAATGATTAATTGTAGGTAGCAAGAATAGATCACTTTAGAAGTGTTTGTGGAACTATCAATTATATGCCTATGAAAGAAAAAGACCCACTCACCTGAAGTCCACGCTATGATTATCTTGCACGCACATCGAGACATCACGATTTATCGTCGCCTGTGACCAATTATCAAATCATGTCTCAAATTTCTTACCGGTAGAATACATAATTTACATAAAACATATCCTCAAGGACCTTCAAGAATAATTTGAGACCCATTGACCAAAAGTCAACCGTCGATCAAAGATCAACGGTAGGATCTACAACCCTGTATAACTCGATTCGGAATATCCGCATATCAGATTTCCAATCCGTAACTTTCAAAGATCCACATTATACTTATAGAATGACATTCTAAAATTTTATTACGATCCAACGGTTGGATCCTCACCAATTCCCAAAACTGATTAGCGGTTAACGTTTTATTTTATGAACTTACAAATCCAATTCGGAAAGATCTGGACGTTGGATTCCCAATCCATAAGTTCCTACATTCTTTAATTATTATGTACTACAATGTAACAAAGTTTGGTGACGATCCAACGGTTGGATCATTGATTCACATAAATACCTATTAACGTATCGTAGAGAATTTAGGTTCCAACAATCAACCTATGTCAATCAAATATTAAGACTAAATTCAAGTCATTTAACATAGCCTAAAAATAGCATTGGCAGCCCAGCCACGCGCCGCAGTGGGTGGAGGTCGGCCGCCCCGACTCGCTGGAAAATCCAACTATTTCCAAAAATTACCAAAATTTACAGAAATGAAGATCTCAAAGAGAGGAATAACTTTCATACCTGCCACAAAGTCCAAAACTGGACGGAAGATGGTCAATTTTTCCCACGAAGCCGGCAAGTGCCTAAAGCTTTCCGATGTCGATTCGTCGTCTACAGTGGTCCAACAGGGTCAAGGTTGGTTGGATTTAGCTCTTGGGAGGATGGGATACAAAGCCCAAGTGGTGGCATCGGCCATCGCTTTGCCGATTTGTTGAAAAATAAAAAAGAGTGGTCCGAGCACCATGAGAACCGTCAACTTTTGTGGCCTTAAACCGCCACATACCGTGGTTAATCAAGGTGGTTCTTGGATGGGTTTTGTAGAGGGAAATGAGAGCTTCAAGATGGTGGTGGCGGCATCGAAAAACTCCATCGAAGTTGGCCGGAATCGGCATTGGAAAATGGGTGGTCGCGAGTGGAAAAACCCACGGGAAAGCTAGGGTTTTTTTTTTTTTTTTTTTTTTTTTTCTTTTCTGATTTCTCATTGGTCCTCCATCCTTTTTAATTTGATTGGTCCATTTTTCTCTTTACTTGAGGTTGATTAGTTAGTCTTCCCACAAGGTGGGAGTTCACATAATTTAACTACCTTTAAATAACCAACTTCAAACATTCGTAATTATACCGTTATAATTCGGACTAGCAAACGGCTTTCGTCTATGCGTTTGTAGTGGCAAGTACTACGAGGATATGCTAAGAAAATAAGTCATACGTCACTCTAACTGATGATCAACGGAAGTCAAAGTCCTTGCCTCTAGGGCATTTTCGTAAATTCATGCTTCTGAAATTAATAAAAACCTGAAATTAATAAAAACATAAAATTTGGAACGGGTTGTCACATAAGAGATGTGTCTAAAGTTATTGGCCCTATATATAGTCTTGCTTATTGAAAGTGAGAAGTTTTACATAGGTTAGTGTCATTCGCATACTTATTTTTATTTAACACACCCTTTTAATTTTTGACCGTTGAATTGAATGAGTTGAAGAATGTCAATAACCAAAAAGTAAAAAGATATATAGGAAGTAAAGATGAATATGTGAATAACATTTTTTATATAGGCAGCGCATGTAAAAAGCTCTTAAGAGGATGAGAGATACCAAATTTAAAAACTATTTATAACTGATTTATTAATTGATACGGGACGAGCCAAGGGTCTCAAGAAGATAGGGAATAGATAACATAAGATTCACTAAATTAGGGACAACGAAAGTGGTGTGGAGCCCACAACAAATCTCTATTTTCATAAAGAAAAGAGAGTTTTAATAAAACATTTTCGGTATTGTTCACTTTTAATTAAAAACCATATTTTTACCTTTTTCTGGTACTATTTACTAGACATTTATTTGTCATTTTTCATTAAAACTAAAATTTTTTATTTTTTTATTTTTTTAATTACTTTTCATTAGTTTTTCTTAAAAAAAATTGCGAACTCCTTCCCTTAAAAACTTCCCCAAGATCAATTATTATCCACATATATACATATATCGACTCTTATAGCACACATGAACGCTAAAATCAATATTTCTGTTCATAGCGGTCTCTTGGGTGCTCAAAAGTTTCTCCGGAATTGATCCGACAAAGAAACACAATACAAAACAGAAACAAATGAGACATGGATGCCTGTTACTATTCATCATCACTTATCTAATGCAGGAAACAACTGTAAACAATAACTATTTTTCCAATTTCTATCACTGTTCCCACCAATTCCTACCAAATTCCATGAATGTAGAGGGGTTTTAAACCTTGTTATGTACACTTTCTAACCATATAAACAGGTTCCCAAATGGTCTTTTAGATTAAAAGAAATCAATAGCCAAAGTGAGGAATCCGAACATGATTCTTTCTAAAATTTTACAGTTTAACAACTCAAATCACAAAACTAAAATCAAACAAAAATTAAAAATGAATTTGGAGATACAATGTATAATTTATTTATTTTTCTGGATCGTCACATATAGTTCCTTCATTTAAGCGAATTAAGAAAAAAATTTAGCCATCTCACTCTACATAACTGGCCTTCTAAGGTTACTGAATTTTTGGACCGTAATTTATCATACAACTTAATTTGATGGGTTTGAATCTGATGAATCAAAATTCAATAGGCCACAAAGCTCAAAAGTTTACTTAAAAGCTGAAAATAAATTTACTCATTTGATTACTGAGAATCAACTTCTTAACTGGCCGTCTGCAATATAGTTATACTAAGAATATTGTTAGATCGTTGTACTTCATACTTACTGAGTTACCGTAAACATTTACAGTAAAATTCAAGATTACCATTTGAAA